TTTACCAACTAAATAAAATGCAATAATATTGTGCTCTAATTTCCTGGTACAGTAGAGCCTTGAAAACTCGGCACTCGATAACCTGGCACTCCGGATAACTCGACCACACCCTGGCAAGGCAAAAAAACCCTTAGTTAATTAATTTTCATGATGAAGACAGCTTTATGCCTCAAAGTATTTTTCTGAGGTCTGTCTTATCAGGTAAATTACTGTACAGTGTATTCATTAATTTTCATTTTCATGTAGTAAAGGCTCTATGCCTTCATAAAAGACGTACTTTTCCTTTGTTTAAGGATATTTGGGCAGTTTATTCTTTGTTGTATTCTCAAGCAAACAATACATACAAGTATAGTACAGTATTTTCTGAGGACTCCACACTCGTACTTATTTTTTTAACGCCATTCCCGATAACCCGGCATTTTCACAAACTCGGCCACCCTTTGGTCCACATTAGGCCGAGTTTTCGAGGCTCTACTGTATTTCAATTTATAACAATTGGAGTTGCTATTATATGCTATTAGAATTACATTGTTTAATGCCATTCACATATATAGAATAAGACCCAAAAGAAAATATATTGATCTTATATTCTACTGTAATTTTAAAATTACAAAATACCATTGATAAATACTGATAAAAATTAGGAAAAAATTAATTTATGAAAGATGAGTCAATTAGTTTTTTTTTAACAAAAGGTTCTTAAAATATTTATTTTTGCAATTTTTGACTCCAAAACAAAAAAATCAAAAATTATTTAACTTAGATGAAATTTTTCAGAAGTTATTCGAGATTGAAAGCTCTAGATGGTGTTTTAAGTAAAGTTTTAATTGTTTTATCATTCAAGACAAATAGTAATATGCAAATTATTATATAACATCAGACTTAAAAAGCAGAGAACAGAGAAATATTTATGAAAAAATAAATGCTTTATATTTCATTTTATTCTTAAATGTCTTTTAAAATTTTAATTTTCTTTGTTAAAAAAATTACAACATTAATCATATCATCAATATTGTACTTTAAGATGATATACAAAATATTTATTATTATTTACAGTACATCTAAAGCAATTATATTTGTGTAATAATATTAAAATTAAATAATATCTAAAGTTTATTTTAAAAGGAAAAAGCAAGTAAAAACAGTAAAAAATAAATATTTAAGAAGGATAAGGTCTTCATAAATTTCAAAACTATAAAGCAATCTTAAATAATCAGAAAATTTCCATTTTATTTCAATTTTAATTTCTATAAAACTTTGATCTTGAATGACTTAAATATGAATACAAAACAAAAAAGTAACTTTAAATTTGTTATCCAATATAAAATGAATTTATTAATTTTTTTATCAAAAAACTTTTTATTGTGCCTTAGACACTTTTTCTAAATCAGAAAACAGTTGATTTTCACACTGCTATTATAATAGGCATACAATTCATCATCACACTTAAAAATAAATTTTTATCTGATTGAGGAGTAAACACTCAATATTTTTTAATTCATAAAATCACATGAATTTTTGAATATTAATAAATAGAATTTCTTTTACAGATAGTATTGAGATGCATAACATAGACTATAAATTTAGTTAAAATTTGTGTCTGAATTTATTGACTACAGATGTATTTGATCCAATATATTTGATTTATTGATAAGCTGTATATAAGGTATGTACTATACATCATACATAAACACACAACTCATCTTAAATTTTTTTTTAATATTTTATAACAATTCTGATACACTTTAATATTACACACAATTTAATTCATTATTTTATTAATAGACTAGGTGTTACCCGCGACTTTGCCTGTGAGGATTTTGCAAGCAAACCCCATTTATATTCAGTATTTCTACAACCATAGTAATTGCTATATAATACCTACTGCCAAGAATGATTAGAATTGCCAAGAATCAAACAAACTGTTTTCAATTTGATCAATTTTCTGGAACATTTACAATCATTCTATAATCGAAGCAATACGCAATAACAAATTCGAATTTAAAACGGTTCGAACATTTGGTTAAAAAATCGAAATACATAAAAATATTTATAACAATGTCTGAAATGTTATCAATTTAATACAACTAAGAACTCAATGAAAATTAAACGTAGTTGAAAATGAAAAATTGCATCTAAAATAGTACAGTAAAAGCCGTTCTTCCGGTTCAATCTTAATGCTCTCCCCCCTGGGGAATTTTGAAAAATCCTTTCTTAGTGTGCATTTCCATGAGATACCCTAACTGTGTACCAAATTTCACCTCTTTAGGTTCAGTGGTTTGCTCTGGGTGATGATGAATCAGTGACTAAGTCAGTCAGTCAGTCAGGACAAGTAATTTTATATATTTAGATTTTCATCTTTAAAGTTAGTTCTTTCTTTTGTATGCTAGGATGTTTGTCAAATTTGTAATATAATTACTGTTAAACAAATTTTCAAAATATAATTTAGAATAATTTCTTGTAAAATTATAGACAACTAAAAGTTTGTAGATATGACACTGATTTGATATTGAAAATTATATTCTCATTTAACACAGCATAGACAGTAAGACATGCACTCACATGTGCGGTTTCAGTTTATATTATTGGCAATCATAAAAAAATGAAAAATATGTAAAATAAAAACTTAATTGCATGCCATTTTCCAAGATATGTGAAGTCTAAAAGCATATCACTCATTCTCATTATGAGAAAACATTATTGTGATTCATTTCTTTGTACTAAGCACTGGGATCTGTGCTATGTGAATCAGTCTTTGTCTGGTATATTGCCACATGGAGAGAAATCTTCCTCAAATGCAGATCATTTTAAATTTTTCTCTTGTGGGGAAAAGTTCAGATATTGAGGAATTAGTGCATATTTATTTAATAATATAATTGAAAACGGAGAATAGACACTTTTAAAATTTTTACTAAAAATATATTGCACAGGTATATTCATTACTTGAAACTAGGGATATTGTGGAGAAGGCTACTGTCAGCACTTGTCTGGAGTTCTTGCTTGTAACAATGTCTGCATAAATCAGTGCTTTTCTTTGTTTCGTTTACACAAATTACCTTGCAAACAGATGAGAGAGAGAGAATATCAAAATTTTTTTAAAGTTATTTTTATGATTTATGGTGTCATGCTATTTATTGTTAATATAGTGTTTACTTTCCTTATACACAAAAATGTATTATAGATATATTCGTATAGAAAACATTTAATAATTAATGGGGTTCACTATTTTATATGAATTTCTGCTTACATGAGAATGTTGGAACCTACTAGTTGCACATGGCAGGGCACTACTATAATTCTAATCAACCTGATTACTATATCAAAATTACACTAATAATAATATAATAATTTATACTATAAAAAAACTATAGTCTTAACTTTCACTGAAATAATGAAATAAAAATAAAAATTTTGTAAAATAAAGTTTTAATTTTCTAATACTGATGAATGAAAGCAATAAGGTTACGATAAAAATCAAAAACTACACACAAAATAAAAAAAACTGAATATAAAATCAATACATACAGATTTTTAAATAAATATTTTGCAGATTATCTGATAAATATATTATAATGCCACATTTTTATATCATCAAGTAATTTTACAATTTGGAAATTTTTTACATGTTAAATATTAGTTGTTTTATAACTGAGTAAATAATTTTTATTTTAACTGAAAAGTCCAGAATTAATAAAGTTTTTCAAAATCTTCTCACAAGATATATTAAAATGAAATGCTCAATTCTCTTTTTAATGTGCGAATACCAAGACATATTACAGGAAGATAGATAACCAAAATCCATTAACTGTATGCATGGAAAGTTATAGATTTTTTAGAAAAACTATACAGACAACACATCAAGATCACACAATAAATTTTTGGCCTAAACATAATACTTATTCATTTCAAGCTCCATAATATTTTTTTTTCCATGTTTTTTGTTCAAATCTTGCTGGTATAGAAAAAAATAATTGCTTAAACAACATTTTATACTATCTTAACTTACATATTAATTTCTATTATTTATATTAATCAAATTATTTTTAAATTTCTTAAACAGTGAACACTGCTGATAAAACAATAATAAAAAATAAAAATAAACATAAATTACTAGCAATATTATGATTAAGAAATTAATGCATAAAATTTCATACTTAATAGAGTCTAGTTAAATTAAATAGGCTCTACATGTCACTGTTTCAATTATGCGCATCAACAGTTTAATCCTTTATTACCAAAATAGTATAATCTAAAATTTACCCAAAAATTGATCGTTTTTTATCAGCAAATGCTTGAATTCTTTAGCTTTTTTTTTTTTTTGCAGTTAATAAAATATTGATAAATTTAGATAAAAATTAAAAACAAAATAAATAAAAGTAAACTAATCTTGAAAATCGAATTAGTTTCTACAAATACAGTATAATGAAATACACACTATAACTAATTTCAATTCTATAATCAATTACAAATGTAAATCACTATGCTATTTAACTTAATATATGCAAAAATAATCTAGTATAGATTTCTAACTGAATATATCAAATAGAAAACAATTTACGTTGACTACAGTTTGAATGTATTATTTATATATTTTTTTAATTATTCATAATAATTAATCCATAAGCACATATGTTAAAATAAAAATAAAATAGGTAAATTTAATAAAATGCAACTTTTTATAACATATAGTAATTTTTACATATATATGCATGTGTTTTTGAAATTATAGTAATTTCTAACAATGTTAAAAATTATTTGAAACAACAAAATAAATTATAAAGTTAAAAAAATTAAAAAATAAAGTGATTCCTTCTACTATCATTATTACAATCAACAAGTTAATAATGAAGACATTGTCTTTTCTCATTGCAACATAATCTGATAGCTGATCAGCTATCTGTAAGATTCCAAATTGATATTAAATAATCATAAAAACATTTTATGATAACCTATAACTTGGAAGTAGGTTTTATTATAATTTGTATAAGTTTTAAACTCACCTGATTCGTCTTACAGACACTACACACCCAATCTTCAGTTGGAACTTCTTCAAGAGGGGGATCAAGGCACGCAAGGTGGTAAACTGCAGGACACGTTTCACAGCACAGTAAGTCTCCAAGTTTATGGCATACTCTACAATGATCATCATGACGAATAATACCTTCACTTGTTATATCATCTCTTGCATGTGTAGTAGTCAAAAAATGGTCACAGAGAAGTTGCAACACTCTTAATTTATTTTCTACTGTTGTGAAAGGATATTCACAACCTTCGAAAGCATTTAATACATGACGATATTCTTTATCACTTTGTAAATACATATTCAAAACGGCCGGCCAAGTCATACTGTCTAAGAAATACAAGTGAATATTTATACTGTCCCTCAAATCTTGAGGTCCAAACATGGTACTACTGAGGTCTTCTTCCCTTAAAATGGCCTTTAATAACATAACATGTATATCACTAATTAGCGAACATTGTTCTTCGCAGATAAGTGCCGCACAGAAGTCCTCGAATCTAAACGGTGTCAAACGAAGAATGTTTCGAAAATGTCTCAAAACCTCATAAACTCCCAAGGCCGGCATTAAATGCTGTTTATCCAATAGTAGATCTTCTGAAGATTTTGGAAGTTTTAAAGGTGGGATATCTCTTTCTTGCAAAAACACGGGAGTATGCGTTCTCCTAGTCCATCTCTTTCTCAACGGCGTAGTAGTGCTACATATCGTACTGTAACTACTTTGTGAAATTACACTAGCATCATCCGATTCAAAACTCACATCTGACTCATTCAGATCATCAATTTCTTCATCATGATAGTCACTTTCTTCACTAGAAAGCATTCCAATGTCATTGTCTTCATATTCACCAAGCACATCTTGAAACAGATTGTGAGATTTTTGAGCCTTTTCTCGTAATCTGCTTTTGTAATGGGTATTATGAATGGAATATGCGTTAGATGGACTACTGTCACCGGATTTGACAGGTGTTGAAGAACGTGAACTATAATTACCACTTCCAGCGTATAAATACCTAGGTTTCTTTAACAAATTAAATCTATTTGACGACGGACTCCGTTTGGGAGGCCGTCCACGGCCTCTCCTTCCTCTACTCGACATTCCACGTGTATCTTTACCCAAATAACTGTAAAATGGACTCGGTCAATGATGAAAATGTTTACTTCCTTGACATCCCTTCACAACTCTTTAAACTCGCCCGTTTTGTGTAAAGTTACGGGAAGCCGCCATTATCGATATCGGCTGATCACGTGACTGTTTCTCACATTTCTGCCTTTAGTGTTAAGGCATTAGCAATTATTGCCGTTTCCAGAGTTAATTATTAGTAAAACACAACAAGTTACCTATTATTTAAATGCACTTTATGCTCTTAAATTTAACACTTTCACCACGACGTCATTTTCGACGGACGCTGCTCTTCCTTAGTCAAACGACGTAAGTCCGCTTTCCCACATCTGATTGGTCAATGCTTTCAGCCGCCATAACGGTTGCCATGGAAAGTCGCACGTGAGGAACGATGTTTTATTAGACGTGACAATATACCGAATGTCCGAGAGCATGCTATTCATTGTACAGTTTACTAATGCCGATGGAAAATGTCATTTCTTCCGGTTTAAGCCAAAACTCCACTTCACTTCGATAACACAGTCTCTAATCACAATTCACCAATGATAGTGTGTGTTTCATAGTGGGTGATTGTCATCCGGTTCGAGATTACACCTGCACATCGGACTTTTCATTCATTTCGAGGTATTGTCTTAACAAGTGATACTTTAATTCTTTACCTTAAGCATTTTAATGAAATTTTAATCCATAATAGCAAAAGAGTTTGATTCCGATTAAAACTCGAAACGTCGACTTTCGTTCACGTCTTTCCGCCCAATTTTTTACCAACAATTATCATTTAAAATAGTCAAATTTAACGCCGAATAATATAATTTTTAATACTTAATTAAAATTTACTCGAAAATATTAGTTTTTTTAAGTAATTATGTATTGTTTATATTAACGTCTTATTTAAAATGCTTACTTTCGTTTCGAATAAACTGCTCATGTGCGATGGTCACGTGCACATACCCGCCAAAGATTCAAAGAATTTTCTGGATTTGCCTGTAAATTTTAATTAAGTTGTAGTTTTTATATTATATAAGTTTTAAATTATTAAAATATTTATTTTCGAATTTTTAATTTTTCAAAATTTTTCAACTTTTAATCTTATTTATTTATGAATTTCGTTGCAGGTGGCAGTGTAATCGCATTAAACAATTGCGTAATTGTTCGTTTGGATTGAATAAAACGCATTTTTTGCTAACAGCTTGGACTTCTACCGGTGGCAACCATATCAGGAACCTTATGTGTTCCGGATCTTATCTTGCTTTCGTCTGCCAATTAAACACATATACCGTCAGAAGGATATTCCACCATGCCCGCTTGAAGTCTATCCTTGCATCAGTATCGATGACTACCCTACATCGTCCACCGACCTGCCGTATGTCACGCGTGACCCGTTGCCATCAAGTGGCCGGGCTGGCTTTACCTGGGAGCGAACGCTTCAAAATCTCGGCCCCGGCCTGCAATCGGAATGTACTCCCATCCAGTCATAAGACAGAGGCCCTTCACGAATACTGCAGTGTTTTCGGGACAGAGGCCCAGGCCATGGCCAACGTCTCCTTTACTTCGCCGTCGGTCATCATTCACCTCGCGGCAGCCATTACCTCTCATACGGAACCCATAGTTATTGGGTGGACTCTGGGCCACACAGATATATCGATCAATGAAGCCGGTGACAAGGCGGCCCGTAGCAGCCCGTTTTGTGGATTCATCCAGAACCCTCTAATGCCACGAGACCTCACTCTGTCCATAAGGGAAACCATGACACTTGGTCGGCGGCCCTTCACGATAAAGGTCGCGATCGTGTTCACCTTTTCGATCCTGGGATTATAGTCGCGCATCGTCCCGCCACGAGGAAACCCTCTTGGCCCACCTCAGGACAGAGACGGCCCCTCTCCATGCATTTCTATTTACATGGGGTCTACGCGACTAGCCGGATTGTCCTCATTGCGGCGCTAGGGAAACGACGCCACAATGAGGACATTACTGGCTTTACTGCCCGAAATGATCTAGGCAACACCCTGTCTATAAGGCTGTGTACACATTAGGCGTTTTTAAACGCGCGTTTTAAAGAACCAAGAGTTCTTTATAGGCGTACACACTCAAACGCGCGTTTATAGATTTTTGTTAAAACGCGCGTTTTGCGAGCGCTTTGAGATATATGTGCTGCCATGTTACTGTACATTCGATCGCGCGTTTTGCGGGCGTCAGCCGAGCGCTTTGAGATATATGTGCTGAAAAGGAGAACGATCATTTTGATACTGATCTATTTATTGATGAAATCTAAAAGAGATCAACCATCGTCAAAGGATTTTATAGATATTTTAAAAGAATTAAAAAACTTGGGTTCATTTTGTCTTAGTTTTGGATACAACGTCGCAAACATTCCATGTGTCAGTCTATTTCGTAATATTGGGTGCACCCAAAATTCTCTTTGCCTCTGCCATCGTCTTTTATAGCGACGATGGAGGAGGGGCACACAAGCAATTACTTTCACGTCCATTTCCAAACTGAGCCAGTGCGTACGCTCCAAAAACACTCGTCGAACGCCGAGCTAACGCGCGTTTAAAAACGCCTAGTGTGTACACAGCCTTAATATGACATTAGTTCGCTCTTTGACGACTATATATTGGCCTACTACCTCCATCGCCCCTCGCCAGCATGTGGCGATGCTGGAAAGCTATACAGTATCAATCACTCAGACCGCTTCACTTAACTGATAGGCGACGTCTATCGGAGAAAGAGAAACTAAAGCTAGAATCTCCATATGAAACAGACAGAAGAAGAAGCGCATTTTCACGCCAATTTGACGCCATTTCATCAGATTTTCAATGGTCAAATCTAAAATACAGTGTAACATCAAATTAATGTAACAATGCTTATTATCTCGACCAAACAAATAAATCCTGTATGTAAAAAAAAATGCCTTTTGAATTCTCGACCATTGATCACACACTGTCATTTCCAGTCAGTGAAAGATTTCTGTTTTGCACATAGTTAATAGCGGGGTTGAGACCGAAGTTTTCATCTCTAAAACGTGAACGTCGAACGCTGCTATCTTGTAAGCGGTGCTCGACGTTTGACGTCCACGTTTTAGCGATGAAAGCTTCGGCCGCAACCTCGATAATTGATAGTATACATATTGTAACCTATATATACAGTGATCATACGTTATTCATTTAAGAGGACTGTCTTTTATTTCGCTACTCTGACCTGCAGATTTATTTTTCTAAAATGGCCATTTTCTCCTTATTTTCTGAATTGAATATTCAATTTACCAAATTTATTTTATAAATTTTACCAAACCTGCATTGATCATTTAATTAAATAGCTGGGACAGCTCTTTCGTGGAAAAGAAAGTACTGTATTTGAATGGATATTACTACGAGAAACCCCTCTACGGACGGAAGATCGAGGAAAACGTTTTGTTCATTTCCAGTTACTGGAAGTTAAATATAAATGACGAAAAACTATTTCACGAAGTTTCCTGTATTAAAAGTTATATCACCAGTGAAAAGATCTAAGAATGTCGACAAAACTATAAGGCATATATAGTTTTATGTATATATATATAGGAGAAACATAAAGCATGCCTAGTAACAACAGAAGGTTTTTGGTTCTAGTGAAACAAATAAACCTGCATTTTTATTATGAAACAGTTTGCCCTTTATCTTCTCCAAAAAAATATGGTCACCATATGATGTGATCAAAATCCAAATCGTTGCTCGAACTAAAAGCTAAACTACTCCAGAATCATTTATGATATTAGTCTTTATACAAGAACAGAATTTTATTGCCCATGTTTCACTAAAAACGAGTGCTTAAATTGATTTCTTGTATAACATATAGATTAAGATAATTACATTATAGCCAATCTTACCCGTTTTCACAGAATGCAAGAATTAGGTCCCCCGTTTCCAGACTAATTAGAAAATTTTTACGTTTAGTCAAACGAACTGGAACGTTTACAATCGTTCTATAATCGAACCAATATTCAAATTTTATGTTCAAATTTAATTCGAACAAAACATTCGAAATAGAAAGCCACTTTCAACCACTTTCAGCCTCATATCTCCCGCACCCTTATAGCTATCGAGACGCAACCATCCCTATGCACGAATGGAGACTTGGGCTACCACCACATACAAACACCATTCACGTGCGATGTGTAGTTTTGGCGAATAAGTGAAATATAGGGACATACATGTCCATTTATATATATATAGATATAGATATAGATGAAAGGCCAAGACTTCACTAGCGTAAAAAACGGGCGTAAAACCCCTCGCCGTAAAACTTTTAATGACGTGACCATGATATTTTACGCCCGAACAGGTCGTAAAAGCGAGTTGAGCAGTGTCCAACTTTCGACGCGAATACGGCCGTAAAACGGTACCATCCACCAATCAGAAGTCAGTGAAATCTAGGTCATTGTGACACGGTGCGAAAATGGCGGAAAACGAGCTTTTGTGTACGTTCCCTCGTGGCTACTCTAGAATAGATCTGGAAAGATTTATCGAAAACATCCGAAAGTATTCATGTACTCGTATCTACGACAAGAAGTATCCCGATTATAATAATGGATGCCTAAGGCCAAGACTCCACTAACGGACGTAAAATCCTTCGCTGTAAAAACTTTTAATCATGTGACCTATTTGCGTTTGCGTCTGGATTGCGGTGGAGGTCCGGCTTTAATGTGCATTCTCATGACATACCCTATTAAAACGCAATAAAAAACGCATCTAAAATAGTATAATAGAAGCCGAGTTCTTCACGGTAAGCCTTAATCCTGTCCCTCTCTCCCTCGGGGGAAAAATCCCTTCTTAGTGTACGTGCTATTGACGTATTGTTCCCTAACTGTATACCAAATTTCAACTTTCAACTCTTAACCGTTTGGGTTCTGCGCTTATTATTATTATTATTATTATCAACCCATCTCGATTATAAGATTTATAAAACGTTTTTGTTTTTGAAAATAGAAATATTGCAAATTTTTTACATGTTTTAAATATGCTTTTTATATTTATTTTTTGAAATTCGTTTTATGGGGAGCAGTCCCACGACGGCACATTAATCCTTTGCTTTTTAATATCTTAAATATCAATACCGATATTTAAAAAATAACTATAAGTTTAGGTTACATCTTAATGGATTCACCGAACCATACATAAAATACGTCATCAAACAAAACGGTTGACCCACGCCCTTTGCATTTCCTGTTGCGAAGCACTAAGGATCACGCTAAACATTATTTATTAATTAAAACGAAAAACCCTATTCTTATTTATTAAAACAATTACATATTAACAACTTTATTTGAATTTTTTTCGAGTATAATTTTAGAACATCGTCATTGTTTTTTAAATTTTATTATATTCACAAATTTTTGAAATACAATATAATACATTTTTGTTGGATAAGAGAGTACAAGAGAATCGCAGATTTGTAGTATATTCGGATTCCAATTATCAGAACCATGACATCGGTTTATCCATATCTTCCTTATTTCGTCATTTTTAGGGAAAACATATTATAAGGTTTAATTCAGGATTGCTCCTAGATTTTTGTTCATCGTACTACTGTTACTACAGCAACAGCGCATTTCATATTTGGTATTTAAATTGATTTAAAAATAATAAAAACGATGTCTTCTCTTTTGATTCTATATGAAAAAGTTTAAAAATATTAAGTACAGATATTTAGTCCTACATTTCAATCTTTGAATAATTTAAAATAGAAATAATTAATTAATTTAAAATAATAAATAGCAATCTTATCACTTCTTATAAGAATACGATGAAACGTGCTCGATGGTATCGCTAAGACATCAAAACTGAACGATTGCCGAAATTTCCCGTACTTAAAACTAGACGAAAGAGCATACCTTGTTTCTATAGACCTTGGGTAGAACTAAAAGATGGAATAGATTAATTCACGGACACTTTTAGAGTAGTACTAAAATATAAT